TTGTCTTATACCCCTACTGACTGGAAAGAAATCTACCACTGTCCCATTCACTAGCACTAAATAATGACAATTCTGAACACAACCCATGATCCACTTACACCATCTAGCCCCAAACCCAAATTTAGTCAAAACTTTCCTCAAGAAATCCCAGTCCACCGAGTCATAAGCCTTTTCCAAGTCCAACTTACAGACCACTCCCTTTTTCTTATCCCTCTAAAGGCCCCCTGTTTTGCCAAACCATCAGCCACAGAATTGGCTGATCTCTGTACACATTTGAAGATTACCCCAGCCTCCCTTGCTAAGCATAGTATTTCCCTTATCTGTTGTCTGAAAGTCCATACATCCAGATTTTTTGTCTACAACCATCCTATCAACAGTTTAGAATCTCCCTCCACCTCAAAGTTCTGAAATTCCTATTGCTTAAACAATCTCAAGCCTTGTAGTATAGCCATAATTTCAGCTCTCAGAGAGTCTCCCACACCTATGGGACCAGAATATAGTGCCATTAGTCTGCCCTCCCCATCCCTAAAGACCCCCCAACTCCAGAGGGTCCTAGATTACCCAAGGAGCTTCCGTCAAAGTTTAATTTTACCCTTTGTTGTGCTACAGGAGTCCAATAAGGTTGAAACACAGACAATCTAGTTGAAGAATTTTCCACTGCTGACCACCCCCTTAGTATATCATCCACTGAAAAGTCTTTGAACAAGTCAGTAACTTTCAGCCAATGTATAGTTTTAATGGCTATACAGTCAATGACTTGTTCGTTTAATCTTTCTACCTCTTGGAAGATTTTGTTATTCATTTCCTCCCATATAAACCAAAGGATGGCTGCTCTTGTTGCCATCCACATCACTTTACCCCTTTTCTTTGGTAGTGTGAAAAAACATGGGTCAAAAAGGCTTACCACATCCGGGGGAGGGGTCCACCTATAGCCAAATAGGGAGGAGAACCAATCCCACACAAGGGAAGCAAATGGACAAGATATTAAAAGGTGTGCAATTGTCTCACCATTTCCCAAACAAAGGCAACAAGCATGAGGAGAGAGGCAATGATTCGACCTCCTTTGTGGTAATTTATCCATAGTACTGATTTTCTGGAGCACCACCACCCAGCAAAAGGCTCTTATTTCTTTTATTTTATCAATAAGCAAAAGGCTCTTATTTTTGGGGGTACAGGATTACACCGAACTTCCTTTATAGGAAAAGAAACTACCGGGTGTGAGGAGTGAAGGAGGGTAGAGTAAAAGGAAGCACATGTAAAAGAGCCAGAGGGGGACACCGACCAAATCCTAGTGTTCCGACAAGAAGGGTCCAAGGAAGCACTGCTAAGAAGGGCAATGAGATCATCTATTATGCCCAATTCAGATTCCCTACCCTCTCCTTAATCCCAAATCCCATGAGTTTACATTAGCACACACAGAAGAAATCACTCTCCCTTTGTTGAGGGATAAGGAGTGGATAGGTGGAAATCTGTTTTTAAGAGAAGTATCCCCAAGCCAGACATCTTCCCAAAAACACACTCTATTGTCAGCACAAGCATCATACCTGATATACAAGAGGAAGGAAGGTAGCAAGTTGTGGATTGCTTTCCAAGGAGATGCCCGTGATGCCCTAGGATCAAGACCAGCATCCCATCCGTTGTTTGCCATGTCATGTATACATGCAATTACATTATGCCAAAAATTTTCTTGTTCCAAAGGAAACCTCCATAACCATTTGCCCAATAGTGCCAAGTTCTTGAGTTTGATATTTCCTATCCCTAAGCCTCTGATATCCCTGTTCCTTGACATCACCTCCCACTTTACCAAATGATCCTTTTTTGTTATGAAATAACAATGTTTGGCACAAGTGTAAGATTTAAGAATTGGAGGRTTTGGAGAAAATATGAAAGTTGTACAGGATGAAAACAAATATTATCGTACAAAATTTTGCATAAAATCAACTTCTTTAAAATTCAATAAAAATATTAAAAAAATTTACCGGTTTTTGCCCATCATATAAATGATGAAAATCCTCTAGAGAGAGGTTTTTCTTTCTTTCCACATTTCCTTTGTCAAAAGAGAATGCATTCAATGTGGTACAGCACCTATACAATCTTTTGTACAGGAATAAAGAGTTGAATCCTGCAAAAGGAAAATAATATAGTAATTGTTCTGAATATTGAAAGAAAAAGGAAAGGAAGATAGGAGGGGGAAATTGGAAAGAACAGGCATTGCATTTCCATCAAGAAACAACAACTCATAACACAACATACTATATTACCATCAAAATGAATTGGTTTCCTGGCAGATCCAGCAACTTCATCGGGTATATTTTGTCTGGCAAAGTAAACAAAATTTAGGTTGCAAATTATAGGCGACAAAGTGAACAAACAAAAAGAATAAAGAAAAGAAACAATGAAGCTTTTGAAATTTCCTGTGAGTTAAAAAAAGATTCATAAAAATAGTTAAGGCTTAGGTTGGTGACATCCTTAATCAGGGCCACTTGAAGTCAAGGCTGGTTTTAGACTTTTGAAACTGATTTTTTTATTGGCTCTTTTGAAACTGATTGTTACTCTGTTGGGACATATATATACAGGTTTTGACTGAAAGGAAAAAGAATCTGCTGGTTCAATAGTTGGTCCAATTCATAAGGACCAATAGGATCCAAGCTTCAATAGTGTATTGAAATCTCTGCAACATTTGGACATGAGATATTAATCATACTTGTGTAGTGTTGTCTTTTTCCAGGAGCCTTTGTACTCAAGCTGACCCTTGACACTGTTAAGGCATAGATTCATCCACAGTGGCTCTTCATTGCATAGTATGTACATCACACTGCGTATTTACACAAAAAGAGTTTGATCAATAGCAATATAAAATAGAACAAAGAAGCAAATATATTACAACTAAATTCCTTCAAGCCTCTGAGAGGAAAATAACGCTACTACTCTAATAACCAAAAAGAGACCATGGTCCATATGGGGTGGTTTCATTACAAATTTAAAATTTTCAGCAGTACTAAAAGTGAAATAAAATATAAAGTTATAAAGCTTATGCCAATAGTCAAACTACAAGATGTGTTGGCACTCCACCCAAAAAAAATAAAAAGTAAATTCAAACCACAGTAGCCAAGTGCCCTGTCTGGCAACTAATGTGCAATACCTCAAACCTTAGAATCTTTCAAGAAAAGGAAAGGAGCAGTCAGGTTTTGAAAGACTGTGTGTTAAATAGGGCAATACATTGGCTGAAGACCTTGGAAATCTTTCATCAATTCTCCTTTAATGACCTTTGGAGAAATTGGTCAGCAGTAGCGAGGTGTTCATCTCTAAAGGACAAATCAATTACAAGCTGGTCTCCTCCATCCGAAGGCTCACTAA